GTGGCCAACTCGAAAGCTATGCTACTTTGGTCACTGTGCACATTTTACTTTTGATTATTGATCTAATTTACTGTTTTTTTTTATATATTCTGACTTTTATAATCTGTAGTAACCTCTTGAAATAGTGCGAATAAAGAGTTTCCTTTCCTTTCCTTGTGTCCTTCAATTTAGGATGCTATCTCTGGAGCACAAGTCAATGTTTATAAAGGTCACAATTCCTATGTTACATGCTGTCACACAGACCCTAACAAAGCCAGGTTTGACAACAGTTGAAATACTTTTCCCCCTAAAAATACACTGATGAGGGAGCTAATGGATAATTTAACTTGACTAGATTACACTTGCTAGTTTGTGTTTAGACCTTAAGCATGCACTTTTCATTTTGAAAATGAAAATAAATGGGACACATATTGTTAGTTTATGGGAGATAAAAAAAAAAAACTCTCAATTATCAATATATATTCCAGTGAACTCTATCATTAAGATGTAATCTACTTCTGGTTTAGGATAGCTTCAGGTGGATGGGATAAAAGACTTCTTGTCTGGGATATTCAGACGGGCACAATTCTGGTGAGCCTATTGAAACTCAATTAAAATCTTAATATCAGTATGTATATAATTATTTATTATCCAAATGTGCTTTGTAGAGTACAGATAATGCGTGAAATGAGACAGTATAAATATCACCCAATATTTGTACTCCAGAAATATCTACCAAATTTGCCCTCACTGAATTAACAATTTGGCATGTTGGATAATAAATCTCATATTAGACATTTTGTTGTGTAGTATTGTTGAGTATTTTTACTTGTTGTTTGTATTTTGACTCACCCTATGGGCTAGTCAAAATACTGACCAACTCATGAAAATACTCAGCAATGCTACACAACAAAAAGGCTAAGAAGATATGCATATGATACCTCCACACTGTTCTCTATAAATTTAATGTAGTACTGACAATGAGAATTTGTTAAATAGTCAATGGGTTCTTTATTTAGCGTTCATTTTCTATATTCTCATGTCCTCAATATTTGATTCAGTAATTATACTGTAAGGAGAGATTGGATGTCCTAGTCACTCTTAACCCTTTAAATCCCAGAAGTGATCAGCATGTAACTTCTCCCTATTATATCCATACATTATCTAGACAGCAAGTAGTGAGAATACTCAAGCTTATCAGGTTGAAGTTGTAACCTTGATTGAACACCAAAATCTTATAACCAATGTACGAGGAAATGTGTAAGAGCTGAAGGAGAGAATTAACTGTCAGATTTTGGGATCAAAAGGGTTAAGGGGTCAGAGAGTTATATTATTGTATAAATCATTCAACCTTACTCAGTTTCCAGTAATGCTCTAGAACACCATGATGAAAGAGAATTTTAGGTAAGGTGGTCAGGTCTGCAATGGGTCAACATGAGGTTGCAAGGAATAAGTTGTAGGACCTGCACTTACCTGGAACTGTGGTGTCTGAAAAACAATTACTCGGGACTCGAATTCAAAGTAGGGAGCTGGTAAGGCCAAGTTTTTTCACTGAATTCTAAATATCTTCTTTAGTTGGGAAAATTGATGACAAACCATTTTGTTTCATTGTCTTTCTATTAGATGCTATGTTAGCAAAGTAGAAAAGAGTTATTTCTATTGTTCAACTGATGAGGCACTCGTTAACAGGTTTGAACTTTTTGAACTTTTTTTATCCAGTGGGAAGCAATTAATGATGGTATAGTGACATCGTGTCACTTCTCTCATGATGGACGTTACCTTGTCAACAGTAGTGACCTCGATTTTGCTGTCAGTTTATGGGATGTCAGGGAAGGATCTCTCATCAAGAAAATTTTCAGTGAGTAGTATGACTGTCTTTGCAATGGGAGTAGAATGTTTGTGCCTTGTGAAGTGGACTATTTTATCTTAAAATATATGGGTTCTATCCATAAATAATCAATCGGTAAAATTTGTAAGACACTACATCTTTCATCAAAGTTGTCTTATTTTCCAGTACATCACTAATGAGCATGAGCACCATTTCCTACTTTTGCATTTTTTTCTTTGTGAAAACAATCAATAAAGAGTGAAAAGCAATTCTTCTCTGAAGCTGATGCAAATCCTCCTTTGAGGAACAAAGAAATACTAACTAACTATGAAGAAGAACATTCCATAAAACTCAGACTCATGTAAGGATTTTTTTCGAGTATGGAATGTGAAGGAAAGGAATTGAAGAAATGTATCCATGAATTGAGATGTAAGAAGTTTCTATTTAATTCATACTTTGTTTTTCTAGTCAAATTTGTTTAAGGGGCATTACACAGTAGTCTCCTTCGCAGCCGTTGTTTGGGCTCGTCACGCAACGCTCCCTCTCCCACCAATGATGAGCCCAAACAACATGACGTTACGAGCCCAAACAACGTGACGTGATGAGCCCAAACAACGTGACGTGACAAGTCCAAACAACATGACGTGACAAGCCCAAAGAACATGACGTGACGAGCCCAAACAACAGCTGCAAAGGAGACTAATTACATAGACCACTTTCATAAATGGTTGCCATATAAATATTCTTTTGTTTAAATTTAAATTAGCCCTACTGGCCTCGCTTGAGATAATGTATTCTTTTGAATTTTGCACTGGAGAACGAGGCCAGTAGGGCTAATTTAAATTTAAACAAAAGAAAATTAATCCGGCAGCCATTTATGAATCAAAGTGGCCTATAGTAGCTTGAATATATTTACTCACTCTGAAGGCTTTTCCATTAGATATTAATACTTCAATCAAAACTCAAAAATAGAATTCATATCTTTATGCCATAGTGTAGTTTTCCTTGGGAAAAGTACAAGTATCTATTAATTGTATAAAATGTTCCACTTATTTTCTCCTTTGGTCACCTTCATCATCAGATCACAAGAGTACAGTCACATGTTGTCGCTTTGCTCCAAACCAAAACAGGATTTGTACAACCTCCATGGACAGAACAACAAAGATCACAGACATGCTTACATTTACAAATGATTACAATGTTACTCTTACGATGGGGTGAGGCATACAAGTCAGCTTTGAGGCTTGATAATGTATTATAATATATATTATGTAATTATAAGTGTAAGTTGTGTTATAAGTTAAGGCTTTAACTACCCAATCAGAAACCTAATCCTTCTTTCTGTTGTGAGACAGTACATTTCTTTGTAGGTTATTCCTGATAAAAGTATGTCATTTGCAAACAATATCTCCCAGTAGATATTTTTCAAAATTCTCTTAACCTTTCTGTTTCATGGTGAATTGAATCTGTAAGGAGAATTTAAGCATTCGTAAATCTTTGGAATACTTGGGAACCCCTCTGCACTTCTTTGTATGAAAGATAAATAGCTGAAAAAGATGTGTATGATACTCTGCTCACAATGTATTATTTACTTTTTCATTGAGTCCATAGTGCATGAATTTGTCAGTGAATTAGTTCATTGTTTCCCTCCAGAGGACATATCAATGTTATCTCGAGCTGTTCCTTCAGCAGTGATGAACACTTACTGGCCACAGGATCATGGGATAAAAATATTAAGATATGGGATCTTGCCACTGGTGTCTATAGGTACCAACGCAATATTTGTGATGTCAAGTAAATGTTTTACACAAACATTGAGTTTTAACTAAAGGTCCTTCATCAAGCAAAAGTATTGTTGTGTAGTAGATGTAAAGACTGGTAGTAATTACCCACTTTTTATTCTTTTCCCTGTTCCCCCAAAGGATTGGGAGGGGAGCATTGTACTCATTGTTCAAGGTTTTATGAAATGTTTTCCTTGAAAGTATCAATGGTCTTTGTCCTACCAGCTGTTCAAATTTTCACATAGGGAAATACTATATTTCATCCTCCTGTTTTCCTAATTAAGATGTTATTTAAGTGGTATTTTGTCTGTTCATCTTCAAAGCATGAGTAGGGGAAAATTTTTTTTATTTACTCCCGGCCTTCAACTTGGTGGAAACTTTCCCTCAAACAGATAGTATAAGATATGTAATCACATCATTTTGTCACTTTGGATTTGAATATTCCTTAGTTAAAAATTCCCTTATTAATAAATTATATTCAACTTTATTTCATTTATCAGGAATCATGGACCAATCACTCTTTCAAAAGGACATGAAGGTTCCATTAGTGCATGCAACTTCAGTGAAGATGGTGAGAAAATTGATCCTGGTTTGTTTTTTTGTTTGATTCATGCTTTTCTGTACAACAGTCACTTTCACTAATTGTTGGTACTAACAAAAAGATTTTGGATGGTATTTTAAAAAATATGTCATGTGAAAATTGTCAAAAAATCCATTTGATTTTGTTATTTGGTTTCATTCTCTTATGGTATTGATCCCATAATGCTGTATCTTGTAGGAAGCATGTTAGTTTCTTCATCGTATGATGAAACTTTGGTTATCTGGGATGTTGAAAACTGCTGTCAGAAATTTGCCCTTAAGGTATCTATGCATCATTCCAGTGAATTTTTATATGATTTCTCACTAGCTTAATATGTGTTACTTTAAACTTGTATATTTACAGTATGGTAAAGTAAGTTCAAGTAAGGTTGGAAAACATTACTTGGTCCTTGTAATTTGCACTTACAGGTTTTTTAGAGCAGTACTGCAAGCACTTTCCATGCTTCATTTTGTCTTCAATTGATGTAGTTCAAATGGCAATTGAAAATTCTGCTCTTTTATCCTCCAGATGTAACCCATACAAGCCCATGCACACTTTTGTTCTAAGACATTTGGAAATATTTCCCAAGCAAGGCCATGAAATACCACATGGTCCTATAAACCGCCCTGGAAGAAGGGGTTGTTATTTCATTTAATGCTTATTAACTGAGTCAGCTCAGGCCCGAGGGGGAAATATTGAGCTCTTGATCATAAAGTACAGACCTTACTGTGTTCCATATGTCACTACCTTAAGCTATGTATTTTCCTGTTTGGCCCTTCCACCCAGTCAATTAGTACATAATGTTGTGTTTTATTGTACACTTTTTCCCTTTCCTTTTAAATTTTTATTTTATTCTAGTGGTTGGCAGGCTTATTGAGAGCAAAAGAAAATTCTACAGGGTGTTGAATTAATGACTTTCCTGATGTTGTGTAGGGTCACACCGGTTGGGTGAATGATTGCAGATTTAGTACTGACCAGAAGTGGATAATATCTTGCTCAAATGTTAGTGCTTAATACTTTTAATGTAGACCTTTCAGGAATTTATGCATGATTTTTAAGAATTTGGTTGCCTTTGGGAAAGCCACTCCACAGACAAAGATATATTTGGTTCCTCAAGGTTCCTCACTGCAACACTCTGAAAATTTTGTAGTAGTTTCTACCTTACTGTTTGAACAAATTATAAAAGGACATTTCTATTCTGCATGACAAATACCTTGTTTGGACAGAATGCTAACTCAGAAAACTTTCCAGTAACATGTTGAGAAAGAGTGCAAGGTATGTTTGATAGCCCCTAATTTGCAATGTGGCCATTTAATCCCCTGACAGTTGTCTAAAAATGAATTGTTAAATACAATCATAACAATCAGAAATTCAAATTTTTGTAAACCTCTGGAACCAGTTGTATTAACTTTTACAATATTAAATAGTAGGGTTGAAAGTTTTGGTAAAAAGCCTCTTTGTTTGTATAAAATATTTATCATTAAATTTTATTCATCTACTTAATATATTACTTTAGGACAAAACAGTGCGTATGTGGAACATAGAGTCAAGTGATGACATACCAGTGGTATTAGAACATAGAAAAAACATTGGATTAAGAATTGTCCAGGTTTGTTAATAAGATTTAACTGCAATTCATTTAAACAATTCCTCGGTTTTATGGCAGTTTGTATGTTACTGACTGTTCCTTTCAATTTTAGAGGACTAAAATTTTTTTGATGATAAAAATTAACGGTAAAAAACTACGACGTTTCGAAGTCTGCATGACCTCATTATCAAGTAAAATGTTAAAACTGATGTAAAATTGTAGCTCAGAGATTATATACTTATATTATATACTCAGAGATTATATGCTTTATTTCACTTCATTTTGTGGCCTAACTCTCAAATGTTGGTCGTATCTTGTACTTTCAGTGTCAAAACTGCAGCAAGCCTTTCTCTATTGCACAATTGGATGATGAACTAAATCACAAGTACTGTGTTTTCTGTCGCTTGGAGCACCCTTCTGAATTCTCAGCTTCACCACTTGACTTTGACATATGATCAACAACCATGATATAAAGCAATGAACAAGTGATTAACATGTAACTTCTCCCCATGATATGCATGCATACATTATCCAGCAAACAGGTAATGAGAATACTCAAACTTATAAGGTAGAAGTTGTCATCTTGATATGACACCAAATTCTCATACCTAATTGACAAGGAAATGTGTAGCAGCACGAGGGGAGAATTGACAATCAGATCTAGGGACTTTAAAGGGTTAAGGTGAAAACAGTAATCTTTCCATTGTGTTAGATCACATTACAAGAGAGGTTTGTGCACTCATTGCCCCACCTTTATCTTATGAGTATTTTCAACTAACAAACTGATAACGGAACAGAACTCAGCAACATATTTATTTTTTTGTAACATTTTAATGTAGCTCTGAGTTATTGAACAATGTTGTAAATAACCAAAGCAATGGTATTTGTACAAAATTGATATATTTTATCTTGACTTTCACATTTCATACTGTGGATGAGACATTGAAAAATTGTTGCAGGAGTTATTTATCTTCATTTTTATAAAATCATTTTATTAATACACCAGTATGTTATATTGTTGTTTCCTTTATCTGAAGGTTGTGACTGTATATATATACTAAATAGTAATAAAGTCATAACTTCAGCATTTGAGGACTTTATTTGTGCTTACAGAAAGGGCTAAACACAAAGGGCTTTGACAAAATTTGAAATACTTGTGCAAACACAGGGGCATAGCCAGGGGGGGTCACAGAGGCTACTCACCAGATTGTCATGTCGACCTCCACGCCGTGCATGTTTTACTTAATGTTACAGTTTTGGGATGAGCAGTGAGAGTATAGCGGGCAGGCCAAGATATTGTCATGGCATTTTCACCACCTGAATATTGTAGGTTGTTTGCTCAAAAGAAGGC